AAAAACACTTTTCTTCAGCTGTTTTTTTCCAGGTAATTAGCAGGCAGCTGGATTGGAAGAACAGCTGGGAAATGAACCAGTGACAGTTTTACTCTCCATGCCAGTAAACTTGAATTGTGAAAACAAAACGATGCACACAATTGTAATTTTATAGTAGACATCATATACATTGTTGACTTACTCTGTTCATTAAGAATAGTAAGAGCAGTTGATACATCATATTGTTATTTCACATTTTAGAAAACTTTCAGAGTTAACAGACATAAGTAAGACTGACAGATTTTTAAAATTATTTTTAAATAATCTTACTTAGTTGATTAGGGTACAAAGGGTCAAGGGCTACAGGGTGAAAGTGGGTAATACCATTGTTTCCACACTAAATATTATCATTTCCCCCCCCTGTATCTGGGGTCAGGGGAGAAACAAAGGGACAAGCCCCACCCAGCCTCCCACCCATCCCAGATCCCCAACAGGAGGCATGCTCTGAGGGTCCTGCTCAAACAGTTTTGATAGTTCAACAGTTCTGGATTGCTGCCATTCTCGCAGTTCCAATCGCAATGAAACCTATTCAGAGTCCACTGGCTGACAGTCTCTTCATGTTTGGGGTTCTAAGATCAGCAGTTCAGTTGGAGAGATATCCGAAGAAACTTCATCTGAGATGATCCCAGACCTGATTCTTGTGTGAGTTTGCTAGTCCAACACTGTTCATCACGCCAATCAGCTTAATTAAGCACATGCTGGTCGTTGTGATTGCTGGGTCTGTTCTGTTTCCAGCCCTGTCTTCCTTGTGAACCATTGGGTGTTGTAGTCCAGCTCGATCCTACCCACTTCATACTTGGTCCTCATGCAAACCAGTTGGAGCTGCAGCCTAGTTGGGGCGACTCCCCATAACCCCCACCAGTTCTGTCCCCTACCCTGGTTCCCATGCTAGCCAGTATGTACCGCAGGCTTGTCCAGTCTGTCCCACATCCCATTTAGCTCTGGCACTTGTCAATGGGCTTGCACTAGTCGGAACAGTCAGCCCACCTGACCCTTCTCTTATCTAGCTCACATGAGGCCCACAGGTGTTATAGCCTGCCGAGTCTGATCTACCCCCATCCTGACTCACCCTTTCCAATGGAAGTAGTTGACAGTTTTTTTTAAAAACCTTTTAAAATTTCAGTACATAATATATTTGAAGTTGCAGGCCTCCTAAGAAGTGAAAACTTGGTCTATTCAGTACATGGCTAAGGACCATCTGAAGTCATCTGAGTGAACACGAATTTTAAATATAATGATGTTTACAAGCATATTCCATTATGAGGAGAATAGATCTTTACTGAACTCCTGCAAACAATCACAGTGACACACACACACAAAAATACTCATTGAAGCTTTTGAATTTTGGAGGAAGTAAGTAGAAAAAAGGTAAATGTTTTTATTTTTATCTACGCAAATGTATTTTACTAAATCATTGTTAACCACAGAAATCTCAGAATCTCAGGAAAAAATGTTTTCTTTTACCTAGAAGACAAAACATTTAAGAATCAAACCCAAAATACTTTAAATAAGCATAACTCTATACATTTTATTAATTTATCCAGTCTAATTTGACTAAATCCTGCCTTGTTTGATCAGTAGTTCTATGAATTCATCAGGCCATGTTTTTTTAGGAGTTCTGAAAATTCTTACTTAGTCTACTTTTTTAATTTTTAAATTTTACATTTCATGACAGCATGTCATAGACTCAGAGATTTCCCCTTCCACCCTCTTCCCCACACTTTTCCTCCCTATTATCACAATATGATAATTATTCAGCAACAGTCACAAGTCCATCAATCTGATATTTAAATGTATCATGATATTGTAGGTATAGACAATGGTAGAAAGTCCAACATCCTATTGTCAAGATACATTGAATAGCTTCATTGGTAGTCCTTCTTTGATTTCTGAGTAGAGATGCATACTGCACTGCTGCATTTTCACATCTTGGTATGCTAGTTTCCATTATATAGTTCTTCTAGGTAGATATATGTATATGAATGAATGCCTGTATATCTACTGATCTTGTGTTTCGTATGAAGCTTGCCTTATATTAGAGAGAATGTATGCTATTTATTCTTTTGGGACTAGCTTACTTCACTGAATATAATCATCTCTGGTTGGGACCATTTGGTTCCATGTTAAAATCTCATTCATTTTATTGACTGAGTAGTATTCCATAGAGTCAATGTACCACTGTTTCTTTATCCATTCCTCTTTTGCTTCTGGGTTGCTTTTTGCTGATTTCATTTCTTTTGGATATAATCCCAGAAGTAAGATAGCTGGGTCATATGGTAGTTCAATTTTCAGTTGTCTTAGTACTCTCCCAACTTATACCCATATAGGCTGTGCTAGCCTACAATTCCATAGCAATTGTACTAGTCTACACACCTACCAACAGTGAAGTAAGGTACCTTATCCCCCACAACCATGCCAATAGGTATTGTTAATAGAATCTGAATGTTGGCCAATCTCACTGCAGTTAGGTGGTACCTCAATGTGGTTTTCATTTGTATTTCCCTGAGAGATAAGGAGTCTGAACACTGTTCTTTTCACATGTCTTAGCAGTTTGAGTTTGTTTTTTTGAAAAATGCCTGCTCATTTCCTTTACCCATTTCTTCACAGGCTTATTTGTTTTTCTGCCATCGAGTTGGCGAAGCTCTTTGTAAATCCTGGATAGTCATCAACACTTGGTTGTATAGTGTGCAAAGATTTTCTCCCATTTCGTTGGAGTTGATTCTTCACTCTGTTGACCATTCTCTTTTCAGTACAGAAGCTTCTTATTTTAATGCAGTCTCATCTGTTTATTTTGGCTTTGACTGCCTGTGCTTCTGGTGACTTTTCTAAGAAGTCTCTATGAATGCCTGTAACGTGTAGAGTGCTTCCTGCATTTTCTCGAATAATTTGATGGTTTCTTGGTGTATATCAGGTCCTTAATCCATTTAGAGCTTACTTTGTGCATAAAGTGAAAGGTGGGAGTTGTGCTTCTTATTTTTGCATGATGCTAGTCAGTTGTCTCAACAGCATTTGCCTGAGACCAGACATGTACAGACATCTAATCTTTGATAGAACTGTAAATAATTAAGGGAAAAGAATGTCAGTCACCTCGTGATTCGACTTTGGTAGATTATTATGTGGCCCAAAATCTGTCCATTTTTTTCCTAGGTTTTCTGACTTGTTGGTGTGTAGTTGCTTATAGCTGCTTTGATTATTCTATGTGTGCCTGAGCTATCTGCACTCTAGAGGAACAGCTTTTCTCCCTCTACTTGCTAATTGTGAATTTTTTAGCCTAAGAGAGTGTTAAGCCTATGATTGTAAAATTAAATAAAATTGAAAGGAGGGGAGTGACTGGGGACATACATAGGAGGGAGTGTCAGATCAAAAGCATCATTTCATATTTAAATCTGTATTATGTAATTGGTTCACCTTACATAAATAAAATAATTAAAAATTACATTGGCAATAGCCACAGCCTGTAAGAGTACAGAACGGTGTTTCTAATTTTTCAGGAATGAAGATGTGTATTTGCCCATCAGGAGAGTAACACAGGCAAGCAGAGCTTCAAATTATGTGAGCAAAATCTAACAAAATGCAGTATGTGGAACATTATAAGCACACATTTTGATGGTTAACTCGGTCGTGGGGTGAGGACTATAGTTTAGGCCTTCCGTTTGTTTGAGCAGCCACCAGAGCTGCTGGGTGGGTGGAGGCATGGAGTTCCTGAGATGCAGGGAACTGAGCAGGGAAGGAGGTGAGCTTCACAGACACCAGGCATGAGGCTTGCCACTTGCGCTCTCTGCACATTCCAGTGAGGCCTTTCTGCAAATATCGGGGATCCTCCCTCAGAGGGTTTGCTCTCAACCCACGTGTGAAATAGGTCGTGTTCCTAGGGTTTATTTTCTGAGGAGCAGTCCCATTCAGTGAGGGGAGGATGGTGGAAGAAGCACACTCCTGGCTTCTCATCTGTCCTTGAGTAAAGTTAGAGGCAGTTTTCACATTATTTCTCAAGATTACTTCAAGGAGTTTGAGCTCTTAGCTCCTGTTAGAGGGACCAGTTGCTTCTATTACTGAGGACTGGTTTCCTTCCCTTTCAGTTTCTACTTTCCTACTCTACTAACACACCATTGAAAAACACTTTCTAAATAAATCCCTTGATTTGCTATTGTTGTCTCAGGGAGAGAACTTCAGGAAACAGACTAAATTTCCCTCTGTTCATTATAACACAGGGAGATAATCACCTATCTTCTAGGATTGTTGTCAGAATAAATAATACATGTGACGTATCCAGTAACTAGAATCTAATTGTTAAAAAGGAGCTAAGATGATGATAGTGATTATGATGATGATTCACTCAACAAACACAATAATAGTATAGTGAAGAACTTTAACGTGGATGTTAAAGGATCCATTTATCAGTGGCTTTGTAGTTTCAGTTAAGTTACTAATTTTCTCTGGGTTCTAGATCTTGTAAAAATGAGAATAAACGCTTATTGTAAGTATTAAAATAGGAGTGAATATTCAGCAGGAGGACATGCTTAGTAAGTGCTATTCTTTTATCTTTTAGTATGTTTAAAATGGTCAAATCTGATTCTTTTGTGTGATTGAAAGTGGTAAACTATTGAACCCATTGTATAAGCAATAAGGTTGATCTTGAGTAATTTCCTCTAACATTTAGAGGAGATTAAACTTCAAAAACTCCCTGTGATTTCTCCTAGTCCTGCTTTGAAGCTAGAGGTAAATCTCAACATATTTCAAGCTAGATAAAGTACCATAAAAGGTTGCCAAAAACTCAAAGTTCTTTTCTGCAGCAACATGGTATTTCTGGGAAATCAGACAAATTCACCACTTGGTAACACCCATAAAATCTCCTGGACTTTCTTTTGCAGTTTGTTTTCTGTAATAGTTCGCAGATTTCCTTTCCAGTTTCAGTTTCACTATATCCATTGCATAGTTAACGGTCTGCTGGTGTTAGGAGGGAGGGATAGGGGACTATCCAGAGCTGGGTGATGGTGAAGTATATTACAAATCATCACAGCTAAACTGGGTGCAAGAGTTTAGAACTCATCCTAAGTCCTTGTCGAAGCCACTTCTTTATTCTGAAAAGTCTGTTCCCTGTTGAGTTTATTGCTACAGTTAAGGTAAGACTGGGCAGAGGTCGGAAGAAATGTGCAAGGTTTTGTTTGGTTTGAAAATCATTTTAAAGCTGGATGTATTATATTGGCTTGCAGAAAACATTAAATCATGATGCTATGCAGTAATTCCCACCTTTTGCTGAATCAAATTTTAGTATATAGGAAGATCAACCTGAGAGTTTGAAGAATTTTAAGATAGTTTTCTGCTTTTTCTGTATCATGACTTCTTAAGGATCATGCTTGCTTGTTAACTTAGTAATTTAGAAACAGCTGTTTGCTAAAATCCAGGTAAGCCAGTTCAGATTGCAATCTGGACGTCTGATGAGCTATGATTGTTGTTTTCTTGACAAAGAACACAGACAGAAATGCAATGTAGACAGCTGGTTAGATTGCAAAGACAAAGGAATCTTATTACTCTACACAGGAAAAAGAAACTGAAACTGAGTATGAGCAGTGAAGAGGATTCCTAGCAACGCATTTTGAACCTTGGTCTGGTTCTTCTAAGGTGGATTTCTTCTGATAGCCCGGATTTACTTAGGGCTTTTTTTTTTTTTTTTTTGTATTTGTTAATTGTTTACCGTATTGAATTCTTTCATCATTCCTCTGTTGTCTCTGCTCACTTCCGTTGTCATGAGTCTTGTAAAAACAATTTTTGTTGATTCATTATTATTATTTAAAAAGCAAACAGAGGCCAACATTGTGCTGGAGTGGAATGAGCCTTCAATTCACTCCCTAAATGCCCAGATATCCACGATTGGACTGGTCTGAAGCCAGGAACCTGGAACTCAATATGGGTCTCCTACATGAGTGGCAGGAACAAGTAGTCAACATCTGCTAACATCAGCAGAAAGCTGGAACTGGAGCTGAACTCAGACTCCAAACACAGAAAGTCCGTCACGAAATGCAGGTGTTGCTAGCAGCTTGTAACTATTGTGCCAAATAGCTACCTGCCCTCTCCACCTTGCCCCTCTCATGAGTTGTTCAATTCATCAGTTTCCCATCAGGACCTCTCATTATTGTCTGGTGTTTGAATCACTTCCTGGATCTTTTTCTTCTTGGAATTTCTTACCACGGCACAAGTTTCACTCATCTCCTACTTGTTTGATCCCCATTTATTATCTTGATGAAGAACCTTGTCCGTTTCTTCTAAATTCAAACCAAAAACAGCACACACCACAGCAAAAATAAATAACAAATTTGCTTTTTCAAAATACGTTAACTAGATCCACTGAAAATGAGATGCTTCCTTCTCCTGACACCTTATCACCAGCACTTCTGTGCATTTTCTCTTGGTATTTCTTGGTAATTTTTCATATTTTACTTTGTTTTACTTTGTTCTTTCTTACAGGTCTCTTTTGTTTTTAAGGTGGAATTTGTAAATAAAAAATATTTATCTATTTCCATTTTCAGAAAATAGGCTTGAAGAGGTGAGATCCATGCCATTGTGTGACACAATTAATCAGTTTTAGGGATGGGATGGGAAATGAAGTATAAATTATTACAAAATAAAAATGGGCATTTTAATGTGTGTTTTAAATATTTATTTATTTGTTTTTTAAAAGCTTGATTTATTTTTTATTGGAGAGTCAGATTTACAGAGAAAAGGAGGGACAAAGATCTTCAGCCAATCTGAAGTCAGGAGCCAGGAGCTGGGTCTCCCACATGGGAGATGTGTGGGCACAGGGTCCCAAGGCCTTGGGCCATCATCTACTGTTTCCCAGGCCACAAGCAGGCAGCTAGATGGGAAGTGGAGCAGCTAGAACACAAACTGACATTCATATGGGATTCTGGTGCATGCAAAATGAGGATTTAGCCACTGATCCACTGCACTGGGCCCTATTTATTCATTTGGAAGTTAGAATTAGAGAGTGAGAGAGGGAAGCAGAGAGAGAGAGAGAGAGAGAAAGAGAGAGAGAAAGAGAGAGGTTGAGATAGATTGAGAGAGATAAAGTGAGAGAGATAGATTGAAAGAGACTGTCCGCCTCCTGGTTCAACAACTACTGGTCTCAACAGCTGGGACTGGGCCACACTGAATCCAGGAGCTCCATCTGGATTTCCCATGTTGGGGACAGGAGTCAAATACCTGGGCCATCTTCCTCTGTTTATCCAAGGCCATTATTAGGGAGCCAAATCAAAAGCAGAGCAGCTGGGACACAAAATTGCACTCATAAGGCTTGTCATTATCACAAGTAAAAGTCTAACCGGCTAATATATAATATATAATACTAGTTTATTATACATGTGTTTTGATCCACTCTTACATTATTTTTATTTGCAAAAGGCTATGAGTTTTTCATGCAAATATGTAAACATAGTCTCTTTCAGGTCAGCCCCCAGTGTTATTTGGGTAGCATCTTTAATGCTTCTAGGGCTGTCAAGTCTCTAACATATCTTTGAAGACTTACCATATTTGAGGCACACATGTAATTGTGGCTCTGCTCTTTAGTCATCATCTGTGATGGATCCTTAGGGATGTAGTCTCCCTAAACCTGTCAGAGCATATAACCTTTTTGTAAGGGGAAACAATGCAGGGGTGGATCGAAACACATGTGAAAAATACACATTTATACACATCATAATTTAGATTTGATTTTCAATCCCAGCCCTAAAACTGGCTAGTTGTATCACATTGACATATCACTCACCTTTCTAAGTCTCTTTCCCAAAAATGCAGATAAATGTTTACAGGAGTATAACTGCTAACTTAAAAGCATGAGAAAGTACATACAGTACTAATGTTATGAAGAAATCTGAAAGGCAAGTTAAGTCCTTCTTCCATGAATGACATCAAGCTAAAATATCAGAGTTTGCAAGCCCCTAATATCTGCTTAATGGATTGGTTTCTATATTTGAGTTTTTTTAAGCTAGTTGTAGATCATCACTACAAGGTTCTGCCACAAAAAAAATTGATTCTGGCCCCCATTATGAACAAGCCTGGCAAGTAGGATTCCACAAATATAAGACACCAGCATTGCATTGAAAGTGAATTGGAGGGCCCAGTGCGATAGCGTAGTGGTTAAAGTCCTTGCCTTGCATGTGCCAGGATCCCATATGGTTACTGGTTCTAATCCTGGCAGCCCCACTTCCCATCCAGCTCCCTGCTTGTGGCCTGGGAATGCAGTCCAGGACGGTCCAGGGCCTTGGGACCCTGCACCAGTTTTGGAGACCTGGAGGAGTTCCTGGCTCCTGGCTTCGGATTGGTTTGGCTCCGGCCATTGCGGGCACTTGGGGAGAGAACCATCGGATGGAAGATCTTCCTCTCTGTCTCTCCTCCTCTCTGTATATCCACCTTTCCAATAAAAATAAATAAAATCTTAAAAAAAAAAGAAAGTGAATTGGGATGGAAACCTCTTGGCTTTTGAGTCTCCAAATTTATTGTAATTGTTTTTTTGTATCACACTTGTTCTATGCATCTTCTGATGCCCAACCCTAATGCAATCCTTTTGTTACCATGTTTCCACATAGTTTCTGCTTTATTTTGTCTATTGTCAGGTTAAATTCCAGGCACTGATACAGAGGAAGGAGGACAATGAGTCTTCATAATTGTAAACATAAAGCAAAAATAGCTTTTACAGTCCCCTAATTTAAAAGAAATATGGTAAAATTTCCGAGAAAAGTCAAGCATATGACAAATTTTGACTTCTCTACTAAATAATTAGTTCCTTTTCTTTTTAAAAAAGAGTTATTTAATTATTTGAAAGAGTTATAGCGAGTGAGCCAGAGAAGGAACATGAGTTTTTGCATGCTGGTTCATTCATGGTGTGGCTGCAGTGACTGGGGCTGGGACAGGCAAAGCCAGAAAGGTAAAATTCCTGTATGGCAGTCAGGAGCTCGAGAAATTGGGCCAACTTCTGCTGCTTTTCAAGGCACATTCATCAGGGAGATGGATCAGAAGTGAAGCAACTGGGACTCAAATTGGTGCTCATATGGGATGCTGGCATTGCAGCTGGCAGTGTAGCCCACTGCATCACAATGCAAGGCCCAAACAATAACTTCTAAAACGGAAGAGAATTTGTTAAAGACAGTGAAAGGCAAAAAAGCAAGCATCTGCTTATGTAGTTTAATAATATTCTACTATGGACTCTATAGTAAGTGTTGCCTGGCATTTAGAAAAAAAGGAAGATTTCTTCACTTATTTATCATACTTAATGTAATGTGGTCAGATTGGACATGGATTTCACTAGGAGAAAATTAAATTGATATGGGGTTAAGAGCAACAAAAGTCACTTAATAAAAATGGTCATGAAGCAGCAAATTAGGGATTTAAGGAAATAAAAGCTAAGAAACATGATGTTAAATCCCACTGGAATGTATGTTAGATTCAAACCAGTTAACAGGTTAGACTCAGTACAGGTTTCCCTGAGTCCACCAAATGGCTAGGAGCCAGCAGGATAGGAAGATCACAGGGCATGTTCTACTGTGACGTGCATTGACCAAATACTTTCCTATTTTTTAAAACTTGCTTCAGAAATTTAGGCCATATTGGGTAGTAATATCTTCCCAGATTCAGTAGAAAAAAAAAATGACTTTTTGCTTAATGTTGCAATTCAAGCCTCTGTCTCCTCCTTTGTAGTGTAACACCACTGACATGGCCCAGGAGATCCACATGGCAGATCCCATGTGCCTCGTTGAGAACACTAATGAACAATTCACAGTCAATGAGGAAGCTTTGCAGATCCTGTCTGCCATTAAGCAGCCTGTGGTGGTGGTGGCTATCATTGGTCTCTACCGCACGGGCAAGTCCTACCTGATGAACAAGCTGGCTGGGAAGGAAAAGGGTGAGTGGTACTGGCTGAGCTCTGCGGGGTCTCCTCTGTCCACCCATGCTGTCATCACCCAATGGGGAGAAGATGGGAAGAAGGCCAGGAGGGAAATGAACACTAAAAGCAAATCAGGGGACCACAGATGATCTTGTTATCTCCTGGGAGACAATGCAGCTGGCTTTGCTTATTTACCCTTCATATATCCTGGGAAAGAGCATAATGTATTCCCTGCATAAAGACTAGAATACCAATGATGTAATTTCCATTTGTATATTTATAAATTATTGAAATTTAGCAGCAATTTGTTATTTTAAAAATCAGATTTCTACCTATAGTGTTTGATATATTTTTTTCTATTTTTCTATTGTAATTCAGATCTGTATTGGTTGTGCTCTCCTCAGCTTGTGGTCCCTAACCCTGTTTCAGCGAATAAGACAATCCTCTGCTTCCTGAGCCTTCCTCTTTTATAAAATCTCCACTTCCCCGGCAGGCTTCTCTGTTGGTTCCACGGTGCAGTCCCACACCAAAGGCATCTGGATGTGGTGTGTGCCTCATCCTGAGAAGCCAGACCACACCCTCGTTCTGCTTGACACAGAAGGCCTGGGGGATGTAGAGAAGGTAAGGCAGCAGGATTTCTTTGTGATTTACTTCTCAAGTCAAAACTCATTGCTTGGGGTAGGGAGGGGATTTGGCTCCCCCCCCCCCCAATTTATGTTCTTACTTGACCAGTCTATGAGCTTTAAAAGCATTTACTCAAGTGAAACGAAGAACTCCTACTTGCTAATGCACTCCCTAAATGTCCACAAATGCCAGGGTGTGCCAGGCTGAACCAAGGAGACTGGGGCACAATCCAAGTCCCTTACATTGGTGAAAAAGACCCAAGTTTATGGGTCATCAGCTACTGCCTCCTAGATTGTACAGACAGAACTGGGAATGCAGCTGAAAGTGGAATCTATGCACTCTGATTTGGAACATGGACATCACGGGTGGTAATTAAGCCACACCAAAATGCCTATCCCAGAATATGCATTTTCTCTCCCTGGGAACCTGAGTGAGAAAAGACATTTGTCAGGCAAAAACAGTACTGGAAGAACTACATTAACCTTGAGTTAGGGAGTTAATTCAGATTTAAAATGTTGGGGAAGTTCAAATTAGTGTTGCAAGTCTGGTCCTGCAGAGAACTCTGGTTAGTAGTGTCCTCTGCTTAACACAGGCTTGTGTTTCAATCTGGCCTCTGGTCCTTGCTGTCTCCTCATATATTTTCATTCTGTCTTTGGTCTTAGTCAATACATCATTTAAAATTTTGTGCATGGTGGCAAATGCTTCACAAATATTTAAGAAAAAGCAGCCTTCAGTTGCACACAACTGAACAATATTTAGAGCAGCATAAAATTCATGCAAATCAAAGTTTTTAAAGTTCGTGTAAATCATCATTCTTTGTCTTAAAATTTTTAGGTGAAGAATCTGCTTTTAAAACTGCTCATCTGGGAATGTCATCAGACATGATTTAAATTTGTTCTCACTTCTAGGTTGATGATAAGAATGACACCAAGATCTTTGCGCTAACGATCTTATTGAGTAGCACCTTTGTGTACAATACCATGAGCAAAATTGATCAGGGGGCTATGGATCTACTCAAGTATCCTTTGTAGATCAAGCATCACCAAATTCAGAAAAAACTATTGGTTAAATCAATAGTCTGAGTGGCTTTGTGATTTGTAAAAATGAAAGCATGGTAAAAACACTGAAAGTACAAATAAAAACCCTTGTGTGAGGGCCCCAAGTGTGTTAATCAAAGCAAAGTCAGAGTTTGGGGACACAGAGAACTGAACATGGGGTTAGGTGTAGTTGTATCACGATTATTTTCCTTAGTTGCATGTCAGCAATGTGACAGAACTGACAGGTGTGCTTAGGGCAAGAGCCTCACATGACCTGGATGAAGTTGAAGACACTGCTGACGTTGTGAGCTTCTTCCCAAACCTGGTGTGGACTCTGAGAGATTTCTTCCTAGACCTACAAAAAGATGGGCGGCTCATCACGGCAGATGAATATTTGGAGCTCTCGCTGAAGCTCAAGGAAGGTAATAGGAACTTTAGTGTTGGGAAGGGAAGAGAATTAACCTAGGAAATGATCTATTCAGGACTGGAGGTTAAATACATACTTTCTTGTTTTACTCATCTAGCTCTCTTACAAAATCAGTAATAGATGTTATTAATTTAGAAATAAATTAGTAGAAAATTTGTTAGTCATCTATACATTTTTTCTCTTTGCTTAAGATTTGTTTCAATAACACCAGATGGAAAGGCCTTAACCAGAAATATTTAGTTGAATTTTCAAGATGAGTGTGAAGCCTGTATTAAATAAATACTATTTTTCATGCTCAGGTGATGATCAAAGAACTCAGACATATAACTTGCCCCGTAAGTGTATAAAGAAGTTCTTCCCAACAAGGAAATGCTTTGTCTTTGACTCACCCACTGACCTGAAGAAGGTTGCCCAACTTGAGACAATGCACAATGATGACCTGGATCCTGCATTTGTGCAACAAGTGGCAGAATTCTGTTCCTACATCTTTAGCCATTCTATGGCCAAGATTCTTCCAGGTGGTATCAAGGTCAATGGACCTCGTAAGTAACATTTATCAGATTTTTCTGCAATGCAGCCTCTAGAGTAAGGGACACATATAAGACAATGCATGGGCAATTGTAATCATGAAAATCTTAAGTATCATAGTTCCAATGCATGTTAAAGTCTCAATAGATTTTTCTATTTTTATTAGTAATGCCTCTAAAATAAAAGACATAGAACTTGGTGATAGAATAAGTTATATGTGTTTTGCCCATTTGTTATCCACTATTAAAACCCATGCAAGTTGGCAGTATCTATATTGCAAACAAATTGACTCCTTGTTATGCAACATAGCCTGTGACAGGAACTGTATTAGCAAGAGATCCAAGTTCCCTATAAAAATGCATGCTAATTGCTGCACAATTTTAAAAAGGCCCAAAGATCTAGCATGCACAAGAAGTCTAAGCACATTGTTGATCCAGTTTTTTTCCTATGATTTCTCTGCTAGAACTCTGTAAACAATTGCTAGCTCAAAGAGGGAAGTTGAATACAAAAATATGTAAATGACAAGGAAATTAAGCAGAAAAGTCCCAACCAAGAAAAAATGAGGAAAACAATATCTTAATTGCTACCTTCACATCTTATTAATGGAGATTAAACCTAAATAACAGCTAGCCCATGCTAAAGTGAAAGAGATAAGGGAATGCTCAAGAGAATATAGTTCTGAGGAAGAAGAAATGAGAGAGAAGATTAAAGAGACACGAGGCCCAATAACATTCAAATGCAATGTGCTTGCATGTCTTTTATATACTTGTAGTATTTATTCATGGGAGAAGAATGAAATATGGACCAGCTCATGGCTCTTGAGGTTTTCTGTTTTCTTCTTTGAACGTTATTCCTTTCTCCCAAAAAGGAAAGAATTGTCCCATTGACCATGCTATTTTTCACAGGAGCTCATTTTGTCCACTTGACCAAAATGCTGAAAATTTTCATATAATAGAATATTAACAGTTTCAGAACTATTCAATATAGGTCATGGCCTCTTTTTCTGCAATTAATGAAAGCATGGTCTTACTCCATGAAGGTCTAGAGAATCTGGTGCTGACCTATGTCAATGCCATCAACAATGGCCACTTGCCCTGCCTTGAAAACTCAGTCCTGACCTTGGCCCAGATAGAGAATTCAGCTGCAGTGCAAAAGGCCATTGCGCACTATGACCAGCAGATGAGCCAGAAGGTGAAGCTGCCCACAGACACCCTCCAGGAGCTGTTGGGTGCACACAGCGCTTCTCACAGAGAAGCTATAGAAGTCTTCATGAAGAACTCTTTTAAGGATGAGGACCAAAAATTTCAGAAGGAATTAGAGGTAAGTGTTATGTACTAGATCAAAGAAAAGTATTGTTATAAATAGTTCAAAAGGACTTAATTTAGAAAAACAATTTCCACTAAACTGGAGAATAATGATAACCAACTTTGTGCTCAAGTGACACTGCTATAGTGAGTACAAACAAGAAAGCAATACTCTGTGCTCTACATACAGATTTTGAAGTATTTGATAAGCTTATGGGAGTTTATGCCTGAACACAAGGATATAGCACAATATCTTACTACCCAGATGGGAGATGAAAAGAGGTGTTTAATCAGATTGAGGAGGTGATATCATGCCCTCTTGAACTCTGGTATTTCAACTCTGGTACATTTTCTTTTTTGTGTGTGATCTACATGGGCCTAGTCACTTCTTTTTCACATGCTGCACTGAATATGTCACCACTGCTCACTACCATCTCCACAAGGAGGTCACATATTGATAATACTAGACTACTTGGGACATTTACAAATTGAAGGGGTCACTAACAGGATAATTGGAGTTCTTTTGCAGTGAGGGTCTGGATGCTCCTTGTTCCTAATTGGTTTGGAATTGGATGGAGTTACTTTTTGGTTGGAGAGGTTATACATGTATGATTTGGGACATGGGCATGTGGTTAGGACAAGAGGTGCTTGGTTTATTGAGTCCTGTTTCTATTACTTCTCATTTTCTAGTATATATACAACAAAACTCTACCATGTCATATCTATGAATTTATTTGAATTCATTGTAAACTCATACAGAATTATATTTACTTAGCATTAAATATGATTTTTAGAAGAATGTTAATTTAGCATACAGAATTGAAAACTGGGCACATAGAAATCGTACAAATGGTGTGTCTGAGTGTAGCAGAATAAGCTAATACGTATCTGCAATTAATTTAATCAACTTGACAATTATTTTTACTTGAAAGACACAGAAGTAGACATAAAGGACGAGAGAGGGAGGGAAAGAGTGTGTGAAAGAGGAAAGGAGAAAGATTTCATCCACTGATCGCTGTCTCTGCAATGAGCTGTAATAGCCGGTGCTGAGATATGGCCAAAGCCAGGCACCAGTATCTCTAGCCTATTCTCCCTGAGGAGCCTAGGCAGTTGAGATGTCTTTCATTGCCTTCCAAGGCACATAAGCAGAAAGTCAGATTTGAAAGGGAGCAGACAGGTGTTGTATCTGTCCTGTGATGGTGCAAGTGGCAGCTTAACCCAGTATACCACAGTTGCAGTCCCTAGTCCACATTTTCTTGGGAATTCCAGCCTTAGTAAACATTGAAACCAGAAAAGTTGTAAAAGGATAGGCAGAGTTTAGAAGCAGGTTGTAAGAGTTCATGCCTGTAGTCAGAGCGTCACCTCTAAAGCAAGAGTAACAAGGAAATGGGATTTCAGAAAATTTCACACTCAGAAGTAAATGCCAGTTCTCTAAAGAATATCATCATTGGCATTTTTCCAGGTTTGAAGGGTGGTTATAGTTTTGTTTGCATGTCTCTGTTTTTTTAAAATTTCATCCAGACATTCTGAAATATTGCTAACATCTCTCCTGGGTTTTTTCTTTCTGAAGACTTTACTCGTGGCAAAGCATGATGACTTTTATAAACGGAACTTGGAAGCCTCATCAAACCTATGCTCAGCTCTGCTTCAGGAGATTTTTGGTCCTCTAGAAGATTCAGTGAATCGGGGGGCTTATTCCAAACCAGGAGGCCACAGTATCTACCTTCAGAAGGTTGAAGAACTAAAGGCAAAATACTATCAGAAGCCCAGGAAAGGAATACAGGTATCCTTGGTTTGTTCTGCCATTCACATGAAATACCTGAAGTAGCTCTTTAAGAAACACCGAGGACAGGAGTAAAGGAAACACTGTAGGCCCAGACGTTTATAATTCTGCAAAAGTAAGCATGTGCTGGGAATCGGAATGCCTAGCACAAAATTTATGTTCAAGTGATAGTTGTGTAATCACATAGAACCATTATCATAGTGAGTAGATTCACATTGCATTGGTTGCAAATAAGGAATTTTTATGGTTATACAGGACATGATCCTGATAAATGAAACTAATTTAAGAAAAATAGTAATTATTTGCCTCTTTTAGCTCAACATGGAAGCTCTTTTTTCCATTTCTAATATAGATATGCTGAAGAATTTAAACAGTTAATTTCTCTTGTTTTCGTTTCTAGCTTCCCATTTACTATTTGTGTTGCATTTTTCTGTTGATTTCACTTTCAGAATTCCTTTGCCTATATGACAAGAGATGATACCCACAGATCTATACTTAATATTTCTTTAGGGCCCTCAGCTTCAGGAGGGAGAGAGCAATTTTTTCCATAACCCTTAACAGTCTTTTAAACCCTGCAGTTGATGTGTTTTTTCATCTATGAACAAATCCTATGCATATAGTGGCTTTAAGTGCTCTGGTGAGAGCATTGGGCTCACGCCCTGATCCATGGCAGGAATAGCTTGGTGGACAATTCTGCCTTGACTAGTTGAGCCACTTCTAGGACGAAAAGAGCTGAGAATCTAGAGAAATAAGAGACATTTATGACATTGATAATTCCTATTTCTTAGGGCTAACTGCATGTATTTGCCCTTGTAGGCTGAGGAAGCTCTGCAGAAATATTTAAAGTCCAAGGAGTCTGTGAGTGCTACAATTCAGCAGACGGACAAGGCTCTCACTGCCAGAGAGGCAGAGATGGCAGGTGAGAGGATGAAGTCATACAAGATGGATATGAACTTTCTACAACTTGACCTGTTCCACAGGGGTCATTACAATAAATAAACAGAGGTGGCAAAGCTTCTTCTTAGCCTCTAGGGCCACGGCCACATCTGAGTGTGCCTGAGCAGCACACGTTGGCTACCTGGAAGGGTGAATCACGTCATGGGGACACTCCCTGTGGAGTTGGTACAATGAACAGGGGAATGTGTGGGGCAGAAGGATGGAGCAAGTTCATCCTTTAGAAGTCTCACCTTTTCCATTCTCCTCTCAGAAACACGTAGGAAAGCAAAGGCTGCAAGAGCTGAAGCCCAAAGGTTGGCAGATATTGAACGGCAAAACCAGCAGAGGATGAAGGAGCAGGAGAGGCGCCGCCAGGAAGAGGTGCGGCAAATGGAGCTAAACAGAGCACGGATGCGGGAAGAGCAACAGAGGGAAGCGCAGCGCCGGCTCCAGGTATTCAGCAGTCGTGTCATCTCAGGGTTATCAGCACCTCTGCTGCCACTGCATTGTCCAACCACTGTGAGGGTGAGGGGGTCCAATGTGGTGACTCAGAGCCAGGAATCTGGAGCCATCCTGCCAGGTGTGCCTCTTTAGAATCAGGGGGCTTCACAAAGTTCATTAATAAGTGCAATAAAAAGATAAAGTGATTCTGGTACAAAACATTGTTTTGAAAGCCTTGGGTAACTTTTTTTCATAATACACATTTCCTATGAGCTTTGTGTATGCAGATTTCAAAATTTTATACACAAAAATAAACTCACCTTCTAATTCCTCTTTCATAAAGTTTTAGAATCACCATGTCATGTTAAGCACGTTTTATGTCATCTTTCTGCCTAGTTAAGAGGCAATAGTGACACACTCATTTATAGGTTTATTTTGGTTACCAATTGAGTTAATATTTATGTCTAAAATGGGAGTAGGCACTGAGGAAACATCATAAGCTATTAAATTAAACAAAAAATAAACAAAAACATTTCTAGCACACATTGAGTTGTTATTTTGATTAACTTGAAAATTTTTATGATAATCTTTTCTTAAAGATTTACTTTATTTGAAAGGCTGAGTGACAGAGAAAGAGGGAAGGGAGCACACACATGCTGGTTCACTCCTCAGATGGCCACAATAGCCGCCATTGGACTTGGCATTAGCTAGAGCCATGGAACTTCATTTAAGTCTCCCTAGCATTGCAATAGCCCAAATACCAGAATCATCTTCAGCTGCTTTCCCACGCTGATGAATGGGGAGTGGATCAGAAGCAGAGATTCTGGTACGCAAATCTGCATTCTAACAAGAGATGGTGCTGTGGCAGATGGTAGCTTTATCTACTGTGCCAAAATGCTAATCCCTGAACAATCATTTCCTTTGATCATTAAACTAATTTTGTATTGCTGTGTCTATCCCCAGTCCTTGTCCTGACAATCTCTGGTTCTGAAGACCTTTAACTTCTGGAGACTATGACCATTCTGTCCTGCAGTTTTTTCATCGCCAAATGCACAGTCATTTTTATTTACCAAGAACTGTGTCAAACACGTTGAATGCATTCTGTCATATAGCCTATTCAGTGTGAATCAGAATTACTGTGCCCCTATATTTCAGAAGAGATCATTGAAATCCAAACAAAATAAGTGAAAGCCTATCTCTCAGAGCTTGGAAAGTTATCAAAATGCTTTATTGACTGTGTAGCATATGAAGTATTTCTGATTTGAAATGCTTATGTTAACATCCTTGTGAAGCAAACAGAATGCAACTCTCCTTCTAATACTTAGAAGCTATTCCAAGATTTCTATTATTATTATTACTGGAAAGGCAGAATTATACAGAGAGGATAAACAGAAAAAATCTCCCCTCTGTTTGTTGACTAACTCCTCTAATGGCTGCATCAGCTGGAGCTGAGCTCATCTAAACCCAGAATCCAGGAGCCTTTTTCTGGGTCTCCTGTGTGGGGTCATGGTTCAAGGCTTTGGGCCATCTTCCATTGCCTTCCCAGGCCACATACAGAGTTATGATTGGGAAGTGAAACATGTAGGACATAAATGGGAGTGCATTGGGGATACTGGCATTTGTATGAAGAGGGTTAGCCAGTTGAGCCTTTATGTATTCCCCACTCCAAGACATTTCTTGGATTTTTATCGTTTTTTTAAAGGACCAGCTGGATAGCTTATGGATCATGATCTTCTCTGTTTCTGCTTCCAAAGCTGGTGACCTGACAGAAATTCCCTCATCTGAAGTTCAGACCTCACTGATTCCTGGATGTCACCTAGAGCTCATAGTTGTCTATTAGCACTAATATTGTGACACAGCAGGTTATGTTGCTACTTGCAACACCGGCACCCCATATTGAAGTGCATATTTGAGTGCCAGCTTCTCCAACTTGCTGCTAATTCACCTGAGAAGGCAGTGTAAAGTGGCCAAAGGACTTGGGGTCCCTGCTACTTTTGTGGGAGCCAAATGGAGCTCTTGACTTTGACCATTTAGAGTGAAGCAGCAGACAGAGAAACTCATCTGTGTCACTCTGCCCAACCCCCAAATAACAAACAAACAAAAACATTCTCTCATATGTAAGGGAGAACTGGTATCATTTTGTGACTGAGATTCTCCAGGAAACTGTACAATGTAACAAGAGAGATCCTTGGAATGGAATGCTAAGGATGCCAGTGTGTCATACATGTAAAGATATTTCTGGAAGTTGGAAAGAGAAACAGGTTGGATAATTTCAAGAGTGTGTTGGGAATAAATGAATGGTGGGGACTTGGGGCCTGTGTACTTTTACTGTGGGTTAAATTAAAGACAAGTGAAAAGAGGGTGGATTTCATCTCTTAGCTAAGCTTCATAATTTCTGTTTCTCACTCTTTAGGAAGAAGCTGCAAGGCTAAATGCGAAACACCAAGCTGAGCAACAACGACTTCAGGAGGAAATCCGTAGACTCCAGACATATTCTCGGCCTTCAAATGAATGCATTTTATTGTAAAAAAGAGATAAAGGAATAAGACACTTTAGCTGTTTAGTAACTCTTAAACTACTAATTGCTATATTGATATTTCATATGGAGTCATAATGTTGCAACTGTAACTGAGAAAATATGTATCTTGACAGTCTAGTGATTCAGATGATGATCACTTCCTTGAATAGTTTATAAATTAAATAAGGACTACTTTATCAGTGACTTCATTTAAGCGGTGGCGCTGGGATACACAAGGGGCAGTTTCTGTTGCATTCCAGTTTCACTTGTCTAGTCTTCCACATTTCACCCATGGTATTTTCAATTATGGAGAATATGTGGTCAACATCTTGGGCTTAGTAGGATGTCACTCCTACTGGTGGGCATGTGTTGGATGCTATCCGAGCGAGGCCCCAGTGGTGAAGTGGGAAGCATGTGCAGGTGTCCTGGGTGGAGAGTGCTCTAGGAGCACTGATATGACTCCCCAGCTGTGCCTTAGACCATCTGCACAAACACTGCAAGCTGAAGATAGGATGCTCTCACGAGATGGGTATCTTTTAGAAGGTGAAAGAAGCTAGGAACATGGAGATTGTATCGTAAGCTTAAAGGTCAAAGAATAGGCTTTTTTTTGGTTTACACTCAGGGCATAGTATTATTAGACTTTTTGACTACATTTTAGTGTAGTTAATAAGCTTACATGTTTATGGTTTTTGAATGCTGATACAAAAATGATATAAGGTATACTGTGTGAACTATCAAAAAGTCTGATGAGGCTCATTCAATTGGATGTTTGTAATTATATGAAAAAATCATTGACTTTTTTCTCAAATTGTACTTTATGAGTCTTCTTTTGTATATTTTCATGCATGAAAACATTTAAAAATCATTAACTCAGAATTACTTCATTTTCTTTTTCCTCAATAATAAAAAAATCTACAAAACAAGTACATGTTTCCCTAAGAAAATGAAGAATTACTGTAACATTAGAATTACAGTGCATTGTATTATATCTTTTTGGTTGCTTTATTGTTATTCTTTGTTTCTTTGTTTTATTTGTCTGTAGTAAAATATAATTCTAAAATTACAGAGGGACTGACACTGTGGTGTAATGGATTAAGCCATTGTTGGCTCTGCTGGCATCTGATGCGGGCAGTTTAAATTCTGGATGTTCCAGTTCCAAGCCAGCTCCCCACTACTGTGTTTGGAAAAAGGAACTAAGATACCCAGGTACCAGAGTCCTTGTACCCCTACGGGAGACCCAGACGAAGCTCCTAGCAGCTCGTTTAGGCCTGGCTCAGCCCTGGAATTGAGGCCAGTTTGGACTTTTCACATCAGGTAGGGTCTGGGATGCTCAGCTCTGTTTCCAGATTTAAGCCGAAAATCAGAAGATATCAGCACATTTAGCTGAGCATTTGACTAACCGTATTCTATAGTTAACTTTGTAGGCTATATGATTTATAAATGAGAAAATAAAATACATTTTTGAACTGGATAAATGTCATGGTTGAAAAGAACAACCAAATCTCCAAGTTAAATATTGGTTTGTATGTTGACTATCTGGAACAGGCTCTTACAACCATGAGACTTAACATCACTAAGTCACTTACCTAAGGCTCTATTTGTTGGTAATGTTATCCTACTGAGGATCTAGCTCAACAGTTCTATTATGTGTCTTCATCAAGCATGAAGGTTTCTTTCTTTTTTGAAAGCTCCTGAAAAGCATATTTTCCAATACTATGACCCATAAATGTCTTTCTGCAAATTGGTTCTCCTGGCTCCCATTCTTCCTTAGTATCCTGATCACACAGTACAGGGGATTGTCATTGGTGAAAGAAAAGAAAATGCCCTGTAATGTAAACTTGGACTTGAAAGTACCAAGAATCAGACTGTGTCATCTAACTTTCTGTTACTGCTGTGAAGTTAACTAATTACCTGGTAAGTTTTGTGAACAACAATGAGATCCTCCCCAGAACCTCCCCGTGGAACACAGTCCCAGCAAATACTTGGATTTTATGTCTGAAGGACTTGAGATTTTCCCAACTGGAAGGCAATAGGCTTCTGCTGTTTGGGCCACTAAGTTCATGGTGTTTTGTTATGGCAGCCATGGGAAACTAATACAATGTTTTAAATAAATAACAGTCTGAGTAGGCATTTATACCAGCTAATATTTATTTGGTATTCATCCTCTTCCAATTTGGTGATTGTGTTATTCTATCTGTTGCTTACACAACTCTGTTGAGAATTGATTATTATCTTACTAATATCATTAATATGTATTAGTGTCATAAAATTTTGTTTGCTGAAGCATTTAAATGAAATAAAAAATGTGTAAGGAAAATACCACAGAAACCCATCTGTATCCAGACCCCACGTGAATAACCACCTTGGGGTGCTTTTTTTTTTTATTGGTAAGGAAAACAGAAACATTCAATAAAATGTTAAAAATTGAGGGGTATTTGGGAAAATCAAGATGGCAGATAGGGTGAGGACATGTTTAAACAGAGGGAGAAACATTACCCAGGGGGAAGCAGAGAGGACACATTCCAGGAAATAGGGGAGGGCAGACCAATAGCAGAAGGGCCCCTGGAAACTATTGGACACAGGAAAATGGTGGAGACAACGGCATGGTGTTGCAGTGACCTGACATGCCAGTGGCATTCAGCAGTGGCAATTTGAACTCCACTGGTAACTGAACTCCACCAGCAACCAGGTGGGAAAAGGAGTTCATCAGGAATTCAGGAGGTAAACCCAAAGGAATACTTTTCTTTCTGGTTTGTTTGATTTTACCAGCAGCAGAGAGAGAGCAGCAGATCCCAATCAGGTGGTGAGGGAACAGGGTAAATATCACAGCCTAAACCCTCACCAGAGCAGAACCAGGCACCATCTTGTGAAGGGAGGCAATGGCTATAAGGTAGGCCTGTTGCATCCAATAAGCTGGGAGTGAACTGATTCCCGGTTCAGTGAATTGCAATGACACAGCATCCTTCAGGTTCCACCCAGATTTGGTTCGGGTACCCCCAGAACTAATGGCCAGCAGATCAAACTCCATGAGTATCACATCAGGCACCATTTTGTACAGTATGGTAAAGGCTTTGACAACTGTGAGCTGTGCATGTGCTATCATCCTGAGAACTGCATGAACAGGAACTGGGAGGGACATTCTACAGACAACAATAATGTGGGATCACAGGAGGTGGAGTGCTGAGCCAGGAGCTGTGGCTACTCAGACCATGGTGGAAGTTTAACATAAGAGCTCAGATTTGATACTCACTGAAGGGAGTGGCACAGGTGACTGCAAACAAAAAGCTGTGTGTCAACTGCAATAAGTAAAATCAAACTGCAGACCTGTGGGAGACAGAGCTTAGAAACCTGCCCCAAGGAGAAGACTTTGATAACCAGAAGTACAACGACCAAGAGCAAAAGAAGAGACAAAGCCACAGTGAATATTACTGAAGACTCCCCTGGAAAGAAGCAAAAGCCTTTGCCAACCTCAGAGTTAACTGAGAAAGACATCGAGAAAATGGAGGACACAGAATTCAAAACATTTGTTACAGAACTTATCAACAATGAGAAGCATGTAAACAGGCATTCAAGGAACTCAAGGAATATGTCACACTGGAAATGAGGCAAATGAAAGCTGACACATCAGAAATTAAGAATACAGTGGAGCAAATTAAAAGCACAGTGGAGAGTCTCCAAAATAGAATGAAGGAAGCAGAAGGAAGAATTTCAGAATTGGATGATACTTCCTGTCACCGGGGGAAAGAAACAAAAAGCTGGAAGCAGAACTGCGTCAAGCTAAAAACAATTATTCAAGAATTGAAAGACACTATTAAAAGGCCAAATATGAGTTATGGGAGTTCCAGAATGTGTAGAAAGAGAATCTGGGTTTAAAAATGTGTTTAATGAAATAATAAAGGAAAACTTCCCTAATTTGGAGAAAGAATTCAGAAACAACATCTAGGAGGGGCACAGAACTCCCAAAATGGTTGACCAAAAGTAATCTTCACCATGACATATGATAATCAAACTCTTTTCAATTGAACACAGGTAAAGATCTTTAAATGTGCACTTGAAGAAAATTAACTGCCATATAGAAGAATGGCAATCAGTCTCATAGCTGACCTCTCAGAGGTAACTCTATAGTTAAGAAGAGATTGGAGTGACATATTCCAGATGCTAAAATGAAACAGTTGTAGGCCCAGAATGATGCACTCAGCAAAGCTTTTCTTTGTCTTTGAAAATGAGATAAAATTCCTCTACAATAAAGAATAGTTAGAATACGCCTCTTACAAACTTGCCCTACAAGTGATACTTAAAGATGTTCTCATGACAGAAAAAAGAAATAGCACCCAGCAAAACCAAAGGAAAAATTTAAGAACATCCCAGTAAAATGACAACAGAAGTCTAAATCAATGAACAACCCACTGCTAAATGACAGGAATAAATTACCACCCATCTATATTAACCCTGAATACAAATGGCTTAAACTCATCAATCAAATGTCATAGATTGGTAGATGAGATTAAAAACACAAAACCCAACTATTTGTTGTCTACAGGAGACATATCTCACCAACAAAGATCAGAGGAAACTGTATCTCGTGGATTTTGATGTTTTTGACTTCATTTCTTCAAAATTCATTTTTTCTCATTAATTCTTTAATGATTCAGATCATAAAGTAGCATAATTTTCTTCAAGAAGGTTTTAGATTTCCTTTTTCACTTCTTTAGCAACACATTAGTCATTCAGTGGCATGGTATTTAACTTCATGGTGTTCTTAATTTTTTATTTCTTTCTGTTACTGATTTTGTTTTTGGGCTTTTCATTTAAAGGGGTGTATAGTAATTGTGTAATGGAGACCATCATATCCAGTGGCATGTTGTTTAACTTAATGGCATTGTCAGTTTCTGTTTTTCTTCCTCTTGTTGCTTTTGTATTATGGCTTTTCACTTGGGGGGATTTATGGTGATTTTGTAGTGGAGACTAACATGTCCAGATGCGAGGATATGGTGCAGTGCGCATCTCTGCTTCTGGATCAAGGATGGACTCCTAGTGAAACTGTTGGATGTGTCTTGACAATGGGATGCTGGATTCTCTGCCATTGTCCATTCCCTCAATGATGGACTTATGAGTGTCTACGAGGAACTATGCCATTTGAAATAATATGGGAGAACACAGTGGGGTGGATGGGATCAGGGGAATTGGTAGGGGAAATCCCAAGGCCTATGTAACTGTATCACAAAACCATAATAATTGATAATAATAATAAAAAATAGAGGAAAAAATAAAAAGAAATTGAGGTATATTTGTTAAAAATAACTGAAATCAGAAACAGCTTGAACAATTCAATAACTTTTATGGTATTTTAATGAAAAGAACATGTTTTTGTTAACTTTTCTTCAATTTTTATGAATATAAACAGAACACATTCCATGGATCTTGTAGTATAGAAGATGACCTTTCTTCCCTTATCCCAAACCCTTCCTCAACCTCATCCTTCCTTCCTTCCTTCCTTCCTTCCTTCCTTCCTTCCTTCCTTCCTTCCTTCCTTCCTTCCTTCCTCCCTTCCTTCCTCGATCCTTCCTCTCCTTCTTTTCTTTCTTTCTTTCTTTCTTTCTTTCTGTCTTTCTTTCTGTTTGTTTCTTTCTTGAAAAAACTGTTGATGTCTTTGCTTTTCTGTTAGCTTCTTAATTTTTAAGAGTTCCTTCTGTGTCCTGGATGAGTTTTTTCAGTCAGTAATATTTTACCTTATGCTTGTTTGTGTGTGTAACTGTGTGTTCTGTAGGAATGCTCTGTAAATTATGTCCCATTTATATTTTATTTTATTTTTTATAAAGATTTATTCATTTTTATTACAAAGTCAGATATACAGAGAGGAGAAGAGACAGAGAGGAAGATCCTCCATCTAATGATTTACTCCCCAAGTGAGCGCAATGGCTGGTGCTATGCCGATCCAGAGCCAGGATCCAGGAACTTCCTCTGGGCATCCCACGCGGGTGCAGGGTCCCAAAGCTTTGGGCCGTCCTCGACTGCCTTCCCAGGCCACAAGCAGGGAGCTGGATGGGAAGTGGAGCTGCCGGGATTAGAACCGGCGCCCATATGGGATCCTGGCACGTTCAAGGCGAGGACTTTAGCCGCTAGGCCACGTTGCCAGGCCCACCCATTTATGTTTTAAATGGCTATCCTTTTACCAGTTACATTAAAACTACATACAAATTTAATTTATACAAGTTGTGAAGAATTGGTCTAAAGTGTTTTTCTGGAGGAGGATAATTCTTTGAAGATAAGTTAATGAAAAGATAATCTTTTCCCCAATTTTAAGAAAACACACTTGCCTCAGTGAAATCTCTTTATGTTGTCATTTCTGTTTTGGTGTTCTTTCCATGATTTCCTTGATTTATTTTCCATTCTATGTGTTAATACTGTAATGTGTATCTAATTTTTAAAAATAAATTTACATTGCTGTTACTATCAGTCCTTTGGGCCTTCAATAAAGTTATTTAAAATAATTTTAATTTCCGTTGAACATTTGCATTTATACCAGCAAAAAAATTAAAGCATCATTTTACTTCTGTACAGGGTTTGAATTTTCATAGTTATCACATGGAGAATCTTAAAATATATTTTTGTCAGATTTATCTGGAAAAACCATA